TGCACTTTAATTTGAACTTTAGCCTAGCTCGTACTGTAGAGTCGAATCCTACTTTTACTACGAGTTGAACATGTTTTTAGATACATTGTTCTGAAGTAATCGAAAACACAAGTATCTAGCTTGTATAACTGAGAATTTTGTAGCCTACACCGTAGGCCCTTTCGCCATTTTCGGCGCAAGTGGGCAAATCCAGTAATATTTTAGTTTTTCTGAGTTTTGAGCAGAAATACTTAAGACTGAACGTTGTGCTGTATATGAAGCTGAAGCTATTGAAAAACGATATTTGGTGTAGAAATTTCAAGACTTTAACTGAAAGGGAACTATTTAAAAACTACAAAAATAATTGCCGATAATTTGCCATTTTATGGCCAAATGGCAGTTGTTTTTGTATTTTTAAAACATTTTTCATTTGGCTGATATCTTGAAATTTCCATACCAAATAGCAATTTTCAATAGCTTCAGCTAGATATATAGCCCGTTTGGGATCACGTGTATATTTCAGCCTAAAACTCAGAAAAGTTATTTTGGCTTCAGAGAATCATAGGCTTTATCATAGAAGTTATCGTTCCAGTTTACATATTAGAGTTCACTGGGCGAATCCTATTCGACGGCGGGCTTCCTGTGGCTACGTTTTACTCAAATACAATATTAGAATACATTACAAAAATCATAGATCTGAGATCTAGAATATATATGCTCTCCATGCATCGAATAATTCCATTGACTCACTCACTGGAGTTTTCCTAATGGCGGGCTTCAGTAAACGTGACTGGACAGCAGATTGTAGTTCTTTTGAGAAGCTTACATTGATAAGATCAGTAAGATTTAACTAATATGGTTCTCACTTTCATTCATTCACCCCCAAAACTCGTGTAAATGTAACGAATACGTATAATTCTACGTGGGTTTCTGGTTCAGATTGCTAAAACAAAATCAGTAACCTTCCAAAACAGTTTTCAACGTGGAACACTCTACATTTTTAGATAAGCGGAAAATTAACTGCTAGCACGTCGCCGGTTAAATGCAAAACCCCATACAGTCCCTATCATAGTTCCTATTTTTAGAATGTTGTAATTAATATTGAGTATTCAACTGTATTGTTATTTATTTAAAATAATTCATGGTTTCTGATTGGCTAATAACATCATTTGGAGTTTTTACATACAGGTAATAATAGATAGCTTAAGATCTATGACGTCGACGTTAGCTAGGACGTTAGGGCTAAGCAGATGACTGGGACTAGGACGTCGTCCTAAATAAGTCGATAGCTCAAGTATCTACGACATCAAATATTTAGGGCGGCAAGCGGAAGTAAATTGGTAATAGTTTTAGAAGTGTGCATGTGTCTCTCTCAATTTACTGGTCGTCCACCAAACGTCGACAACCTCACAACAAGAGTTTTACCGTCGCATTCTCCTTCATGAAGAACACGTAAACTTACGATACTAGTTATCTCCAGTTTCCCCTGCGTCATTAAACCAGGTGATCTCGTGTTCGTATTTTAGCCAATCAGCGCTCAGAAAGGGTTGTCCGAATAGAAATCCATTTTGATGTATTCAGTCAATTATATCTTTCGTTATTCTTTATGAAACTAGTTGAAATTTTGTAATTATGTTTGGTTATGAGAACTATAGCTCTGACAAAAATATGGAATCGAAATAAAGTATATTACAGGAGATATTCAGTTGTTTTAATCATAAAATGGATTTCTATTTGACAACTAGTGCCAGTACTTTTCCGCGTATCAAGATCATCTGGAAGTACTAATTACAACACTTGAAGAAGTAAAAGTAGCGTAATACTTACGAGATCCTATTTGAATTAATTTCTCATAAAGAGTAAAAACTGGTTTTGATCATGACACATTGAAAACATCTCTTCCTGTACACTTACGAACAGGACCCGAATGGAGGGAATACCGGCAGTCTTAGCGGCCTCCAAAATTGTCCCAAATTATGACGGTGGGACGGACAAATAAATATCAACTTAAACTGGTCTTCGGTAAGATTGAACATTCCCGCGCGAATAGCAATTAACTCGTTCCCTCTCAAGTTCATTTTAGAAAGATGACTGTTTGATAGTTGAACACTCATATCTTCCTTACAATCAAATAAGCAACTAATCTCCTGTAATCCACGACTTTCACCACAAGAAATTCCACCAACGCCGACAAATGAACAACTTTTCTCCATAATCAAAACTAAACTAGTAAGCTTCTATATCTGAAAACGGCACTTGTTTGCGTTAATTTAATGTTAAACAAAACAGGTGTGGAAATTACAAAGGAACACTGTCATTGATATTATTTAAGAAATAAGTTTAAAAAATACTCCAATAATTATTTTTAACAATATGGCGCATTGAAGAACAAAAACAACTTGTATACATTGCGTCTGCTATTATTTTCTGCTATTATTTTCGTGGTTTTATTATTATTTTATAAATTAGAGAAACTTAACAATAGGCTACAAACGTAATTCCCTTGGCATACAGACTACAGTAACACAATTTACTAATCTCAAAATTTTCTCAACAACTCCCGAACGTTTGATTAAAGATTAAATTTGCGAGATTAAATTGTTTCGGTTGAAGAATTAACACGCGAGAAATAACTATCCAGGTAGCAAGTTAACTATAAAGTTTAGTATATTGTTGAATTCGTAATATAGCGTGTATTCTATTTGTGGCACACTTATTCGGTACATATTAAACAACGATAATATATTGTACATTATGTTGGCGTGCAACTATTTAGTAATTTTAATCAAGTTTAAAACGATCAATTGTAAAGGTTTCCGAAAGCTTAAGAAAATTACAAGGCGCTGTTTGTATTCAAATATAAGAACTTATAAACACTATTTTATATTTATAATAATTGGTGATATAAATTTATAAAAGCTCCGCGCCGCGAGTAAGGCTGAACGTGTTTCCGGTTATCACAAAGGTAAACAATAGAACTATTTATAGCCATAATTTATGAATTATGCACTCCTTCATATTCCTTTTGCCGACAAGTTTTATTGCGAATAACATAACTTTAAGTATTCTACTTTAACCCTAAAAGTGTTTTAGACACCAGGTAGGTTGCACTTTTGAGAATTTTTAGTTTGAATTTTGTACCTAATCATTAGTTGTTCGGTGAACGAAAATACCGACTTCTTTGGATGCAGACTAGTAGGCTTAAAATAAGATGTACATTCAAATTCTTTCAACATTCTAAAAGAAGAAGAATATGTCTCAATACGCTGAAAAAAGTTTTTAATTTGACGCGAAACTTTCCGAGTTATGATGCACAATTTAACACACATTTGACCGCCGTTTTCGCGGGGTCAAATTTCAGTGTCGCTGACGTCCAAACAAAAATTCGTCATAACTCAAAAAAAAAGAAAAATTTAGAAATTCTAATATTAGTTTAATACCTTTTAAGGTGGCTCCCTACAGTTAGTACAGTTTAAATACGATTTATATAGATCAGACTTCATCCTCGCGACCTGCGCGTGGAATCGTGTTTACTGTTCTGCAAAAATATTGAAACAAGCCGTGGGAAGTTTTTTGGCGTTTTTTATCTACAAAGAAAGCCCCAGTTTTTCATTATAATCCTATTTTTTTCTGAATTCGAACAGTACGTATGTTATTAACTAGTTTAACCTATCTTTTAGTGTGTTTTTACGTATTTACGTTCAGTATTGTCTTTCATATTGCTCAAAATTTTCAACTTGTTGTTTTGCGAGCTGTCAAACTGAAATGACACTGTCTTCTATTAACTCTTGAACAGTAGTGAACTGTTGCCGAAACTTATATAAGTTCTGTCAATCAATTCAATTTACAGGTATCGTTTTATCTGCTAAATCAAATAAAACAGTTATGAGTTGTTTTATATGAAAAGTTAAACTTGTAGTTCGATGTTTTGAAAAGTTTTCACACCGATTTTAACAACAAAAACAAATGTAAACTAACACTGGATTTAATACAATGCCTATAATAGTGTTTTTTATTAGTATTTTCAAGATTAATATTTTATTTTCATGTCAAACAAGTCAGAAATATCTGTTTTCTTATGTATTGTAAGCCAAAAAGTTGAAATCACTATAAATCACACGCTACAATTTACACGCATGCGCAGATTGTGCTCATGTCGAGTCGATTTTTTTTCATGCTGGCCACGCCGATTTTAGCGATGATTTTCTCGTGTTTTCTTCGGTGAAATTTATTTAAACTTTGTATTTTTGTTAAACAAGAGGAATGGTACAACATATCCAAATTTTAAGAAATTCTATAAATAACTTTTTCTGTAACCGTCATTCACGAATATCTCGAAAACTTATTTATAAAATTCCTTCAAATTTTGATATGTTTTTCCTTTATGGACCATAAATCTTCAAAAAAAATTTCAGAAAAATTCACCGAAGGAAAATATAGATATTGTCCATTTATTGTGAAATTAGACAATAAAAGTGCAAAAGATTACACGTCATGGTTGCCATGGCAACACAAACACTGTTTTAATTTGTTCATAAATGGACAGCACGCAGCTTCCGAACTTTCCTGGAAATGATCATATTGCCTTGTCTTAAGTGTATCTAATATAAATTCGGTTCAAAGCGAACGATACTCAAAATACATAGAATTTTAGAGAACTGTAGGAAGCCACCTTAAGACAAAGGTAGTTCATGGTAAAAATAGAAAGGAAATCTAATTTTCAACCTGAAACGCTCTGCATGGTTCTTAGTGAGACAGTCACTTAAGGGAAGCCTCACATATCGATTTTGTCCATGAGAAACGTCATATGTTCGTTTCTCTGGAGACACCTGTTGAGTTCAATATAAAACTGTATGTTATCCAAATATTGGTATGACGTAATACTGAGAGACAAATGCATGATGGGATTGTTGTGTTGTTAGTTGAACTTCCTCGTGAAAGTAACTTACTGTACAAAACTACATTTGTAATAAACGTGAAAATAAAGAGTGATTTCATTACAAATACGGTGTTCTAAAGTCATGGCTTCAACAGGTTATGGGCCCAGCAGAGAATCACGCTGGTCAAGGTTGACTTTCGATGGAAACGAAAGCAATTACGAACTGTGGGAAGCGAAATTCCTTGCGCACATGAGGTTATTAAAACTAAAGGATACTATCCTGCCGTCTGAAGAAGAGGCTGACGCAACAAAGAACGAAGAATGCTACGCCGAGCTTATACAGTGTTTGGACGACACCAGTCTGTCATTGGTAATGAGGGATGCTACCGACGACGGCCGAAAGGCTTTACAAATACTCCGAGACCATTATGCAAATCAAGGCAAACCAAGAATCATCACACTCTACACTGAGCTAACGTCACTTGAAAAAGCACTTCACGAGACAGTCACAGATTACTTAATAAGAGCCGAGAAAGCAATAACAGCGCTTAAGAACGCAAAAGAAACGTTAAGCGATGGGCTAATAATTGCTATGATCTTAAAGGGGCTGCCTGATTCATATAAACCGTTCTCGATACATGTGACCCAAAGTGCAAGTGAGATAACGTTCGCGAAGTTTAAGAGCATGTTGAGGAGCTTCGAAGAAACGGAAAAGCTCAACACCAAACCGAAAGTTGATCAGGTAATGAAAGCTGAGTTTCCTTCGCAAACAATGACATGTTATGGCTGCGGGAAAAGAGGGTATTTAGTCAGAGAGTGCCCTGCTAAGAGCGAGAAGAAGTGGTGTAACTATCACAAAAGTACAACACACTCGGATAGCACCTGCAGAAGTCAGCAAAAGAGCAAAGACCAAGCCAAACAGGTGTCGGAGAAAGAAAACACCTCTAAAGATGAACATTTATTTGCATTCAAAGTTAACGACGAAGCAACAGGGAAAATCAATCGAATGGGAATGTTGGTTGACACAGGTGCCACTTCTCACATTGTTACTACTGATATTTTAAAGCAAATAGACATGACATTTAAACCATCAAAACATTACATCGAACTGGCTGATGGCACACGAGCCAGTAATATTGCATTGAAACGAGGGGATGCTGAAGTGTTTCTGGAAGATACAAATGGAAAATGTGTGAAAACGGTGCTGAAAAACGCCTTATATATACCATCCTATCCTCAAGATATTTTCTCAGTGAAGGCAGCCACATCAAATGGAGCCGAGCTTCGATTTGCCCAAGATACTGGTGAGCTAACCCTTGAAGATGGTACCATTGTTGAACTTGAAGAACATGGACGGTTGTACTATTTGACTTCCATAGACAGTCATGAGAACGATAGCGTAAGTGAAGTAGATAAAGTAAATCTCTCGTAT